CCTCCAGCTCCTCACCACTCTCTCGCAGAGGTTGGGAAGATCTTTTGGGACCAGGGCTTTGTGGTTGCTTGGAACTGGGGCTCCCTGTCCTGGCGCCTGGCTCTTCAGGCTGGGAGGCACCTGGCTGGGATGGTGGCGGTGGCATGGACGAAGCCAGGGCTGGAGGCTGCTGTGGGAGTACTTCCTCTTTGGGCAGGTGGCTGGGGGCCTGGGAAGGGCCCCCAGGGTCCTCCAAGGTGACACTGACATCGGTTCCAGGGTCATTCTTGTTGCCATTAAAGCTAAAATCCTGTTAAATACACATCCAGGTAAGACAGGGGTTCGTGTCCTAGCAAGTCCAAAGGGCAGACAGATCATGGAGGAGTCAGGAGATGCAGAAAAAAATGGTGGATGAAGGAAGATAAAAGTTTCTGAATCTTTCCTTCTTCTTTTTTTGCTTTTTGATTAAGGCACGTTTTACTCCACTTACTTTATGTATTCGTTTTTGTGAGCCAGGCAGCCTCAGAAGCTGGCTCTTCTGTTTTCTGGTGGCTGTAACTCCACCAGAGACCATTTGCAAATTCCGCTTTTGCAGGCTGCAGTGATGGCCTACGGTGGCATCCCTTGGTTGTCGCCTAGTCAAGGTGAAATTGCTGCCACCACAAGCAAGGAAACATGACACAGCTTGAGACCAATGTTGCAGAGAGGGGGTGGGGCAGGAATATGAAAAGGAAATTGTGACAGTTCCTTTTATGAAGCTAATGGCGATTTCAAAATCTGGCCAGAACAGAAGAAGAAAGTTATGGCTTTGGGGCACATAAACATCTCATTGAAAACGTACCACCACCCAGTCCATTTGGATGGCTAGCACCCCCCTGAGGGCAGAGCGGAAACTGCCCCTGTGGGTTTCCAAGACTGTAACTCTCTTGGCGAGTGAGTGAGCTTCATTGTTCTCCCTCCATATACACATAGCTGGGAGAAATTCCTAACACAATACTAGCCAATCAAATCCAGTGACAATTAAAAAATGAAACAAAATCAGGATTAATCAGGCTTATGCCCCAAATTCTAGTTTGTGCCCAAATCAGAGAAATGTAGATTTAACATACTATATTAATAAATGTGGGGTGGGGGTGGGGGGCGACCAATAACAGCCATTTCTTTGAAAACAGAGAACTGCCATTTGAGTCATTTCTGACTCACTGTGGCCCCTTACGGGACAGAGCAGAATTTCGCTTCAAAAGTTTCCAAAATTGATTAATTAAAAAAAAAAAGTTTCCGATGGCTGGTTTTAGTGCGATGGGCATTGGGCAGCCAACCACAAAGTCAGCAGTTTGAAATCACCAGAAGAGGCTTTCTCTTAGTGACAATCTTGGAAATGCACAGGGACAGTTAGTTCTGCCTTGTCCTCTGGAGTTGCTATGAGTCGGCACCCACTC